CATTCCATTTTTAGCAGTTACATCATTCCCCCCCCCCAAGTTATGGTCATTTCAATATATGAAAAAAGTAATAGGGTGCCACTGCTGGGCTTTCTAGAATGAATGATTATTAGGTAGTTTAAAGGCGCCATGAAATTCATAGAGAAAATATTGAGTAAATTAAAACAAAAGACATGTTCTTGCTTTTCTACTTTATGTGGATTATTTCAGGGAACATTAATGTTTATATTATATTAACTAGCTTAAAATAATTCATGAGTAATAATAATTTACCACTCTGAATATTGTTCACTACATTAAATTTCTACTAAACTGCAGTCTTTTGGGTCACATAAAGTGTTTCATACTCAAGCACACTCATGCTTCCCAAAGTTACATGAAGCTGTTTCTTAATTTATATTTATTTCTATATGAATATACATGATTATAATTTATATATTATTTAACTAAATGTATTCTTCTTACACGAGGATGAAACCTATGAGCCACCTTTACACCCCAATTGCTTAGGATTCTTTTCTGAGAGCCATGGAAGGATAAGTGGCTTTAGATTCAAGTTGGAATTAGAAGTTAGGCCGTAGAAGTCTAACAGATTTGCAAATGTGAACTTCAGTCCTGTATTTCACAAACACGCAGAGCAACCCCAGCCCATTGCTACCACAATCCTCAATGCTACTTCCTCTGACGATGAACCCAAGGCCTAGAGTAATTTGGTAAAGCTTTGTGGATGCCCAAGGGTAGGAAAATATGAGACTTCCCTTCCCCTCCCCCATCTCCATATGCCAGATATCGATTTTTCCCGTTCTTACATTTGGAACAGTTGTCCAGCAAGAGAATGGAAAAAGCCCATTTCTTACAAAGCAGCAATTCAGCCAAGAAAGCACTCACCAGTCAATACTTAATATCATAAAAATCCAGGAAAGAAAGCAACACATAGTCCACTCTCTTTTAAGACTTCAAACTGATAATTCTGTGTTTGTCAGAAGGTAGGTACATAATATGTGCTTACTGGATTTTTTTCTATTTTCTTTTTTTTTGAGACAGAGTTTTGCTCTGTCACCCAGGCTGGAGTACAATAGCGCAATCGATCTCGGCTCACTGCAACCTCCCCCTCCCAGGTTCAAGTGATTCTCCTGCCTCAGCCTCCCAAGTAGCTGGGATTACAGGCGCTCACCACCACGCCCATCTAATTTTTGTATATTTAGTAGAAACAGGGTTTCACCATCTTGACCAAGCTGGTCTTGAACTCCTGACCTCAGGTAATCCTCCTGACTCAGCCTCCAAAAGTGCTGCAATTACAAGCGGGAGCTACCATGCCCAACCTCTATTTTCACAGAGTACAAAACAACAGACTATAGACATCTTTTGAACTCTGTCCTAGATCACATGAAGCCACAGCTGCAGAAGTTAAAAACCTTCCTTTGGAAATCTGGAAACCAGAGAGAACATTTAAGTACTCTTCTTTATTAATTGTATGACTATTAGAGATGTCTAAGGTAAAGAACTATGACAAAAAAAGAAAAAAAAAAAAAAAAAAAAAAAAAAAAAAAAATAAAGAACTATGACAAAAAAAGAAAAAAAAAAAAAACAAATCAGGGACAGAAAGTGCCACCTGCACAAACACACTGTTATTTCACCAAGAGCGGTAAAACTCGCCAGGCCCCGTGGCTCACACCTGTAATCCCAGCACTTTGACAGGCTGAGGTGGGTGGATCACGAGGTCAAGAGATCCTGACCATGCTGACCAACATGGTGAAACTCCGTCTCTACTAAAAATACAAAAATTAGCTGGGTGTGGTGGCACACGCCAGTACTCCCAGCTACTTGTAAGGCTGAGGCAGGAGAAGTGCTTGAACCCGGGAGGCGGAGGTTGCAGTTAGCCGAGATTGTGCCACTGCATTCCAGCCTGGCGCCTGGCAACATAGCGAGACTCTGTCTCAAAAAAAAAAAAAAAAAAAAAAAAAAAAAAAAAAAAAAAAAAAAAAAAAATCTACTAAAAATACAAAATCAGCCGGTCATGGTGCCAGGTGCCTGTAATCCCAGCTACTCAGGACACTGAGGCAGGAGAATCACTTGAAACAGAAAGGCAGAGGTTGCAGTGAGCCGAGACTGCCCACTGCACTCCAGCCTGGGTGACAGAGGGAGACTCTGTCTCAAAAAATAAACAAATAAATAAACAAACAAACAGTAGTAGAATAAAAAACTCAGCCAACATCATTCTTCTGATGGTGGGAGTAATTATACAAGCATCTATGACAGTACTTGGCTTCTCTAGAAGAAATCCCAACTGTATCAAACCACTTTGAGAAATATATATATTTTTTGAGATGAAGTTTTGCTCTTTCACTCAAGTTGGAGTGCAGTGGGCGATCTCGGCTCACTACAACTTCCGCCTTCTGGTTTCAAGGGATTCTCCTGGCTCAGCCTCCCAAGTAGATAGGATTACAGGGGCCCGCCACCACGCCCTGATAATTTTTGTATTTTTAGTAGAGATGGGGTTTCACCATGTTAGCCAGGCTGGTCTTAAACTCCTGATCTTGTTATCTGCCCATCTAGGCCTCCCAAAGTGCTGGGATTACAAGTGTGAACCACCACTCCTAGCCAAGAAATAGATTTCATACTTTTTAAAAAATCCTTTTTGTGGGCCGGGCGTGGTGGCTCACGCCTGCAATCCCAGCACTTTGGGAGGCCGAGGCAGGTGGATCACCTGAGGTCAGGAGTTCAAGAACAGCCTGACCAACTTGGTGAAACCCCGTCTCTATTTTAAAAAAATAAAAATAAAAACATAAAATCCTTTTTGTGGCAAACGGGGTCTGGCTGTTGCCCAGGCAGGTCTCCAACTCCTGGGCTCAAGCTTTCCTCCTAGCCTCTTCTGCTTCCCTAGCAGCGGGGATTATAGGCGTGAACCACAGCCCCTGGCTATTCTCCTATGTTTCATCTGTTTCAAGCTCAGAGTGTAGAGTGCATTAGCCTAATCCAATTACTTTATCCAATTGGCGTAGAAGAAAAGTTGATTACAAAGTCAAAAGAAGAAATCCTGGAACTATGGGGATCTTTCAAAGTATTAGATATTAAAGAACAAAAACAGCCAAATAGCCGTGAGCACTGGCTGATGCTTGTAATCCCAACTCTTAAGGAGGCTAGCCGGGCGCAGTGGTGCGTGCCTGTAGTCCCAGCTACTCGGGAGGCTGAGGTGGGAGGATCGCTTGAGCCCAGGAGTTCTGGGCTGTAGTGCACTATGCCGATCGGGTGTCCACACTAAGTTCGGCTTCAATATGGTGACCTCCCGGGAGCGGGACACCACCAGGTTGCCTAAGGAGGGTGAACCCACCTAGGTCGGAAACGAAGCAGGTCAAAACTCCCGTGCTGATCAGTAGTGGGATCTCGCCTGTGAATAGCCACTGCCCT